CCCCCGGGGGCTGGTACGAATCAGCACGAGGGTCAAGTTATTTCTGGGGAGGCCCGGGGGCCAGGGCTCCTGAGGAGCGTGTTCCAGCACGCCTGACCTCCCTCTGTGCAGACAGGCCCCAGGGTTCATCAGCAATCCTGCGCCCCAGGCCTGGCGGGCTTTCTGGACCAAAGGCTCCCCTTTCTACCCTGTGACAATGGCCCCAGGAGACATGGCCAGCTCCCCAGGAGAGCACAGCTGCGCGAAGCCCCAGAAATGCGCCCAAGGTGAGGCCACTGTCTCCCAGCTCTACTGGGCACTGCTAGGCGCCCATTCTCCAGTAAGACGGGGTGAGACATCCAGCCCCCAAGGGCTTTAGGGTCCTCACCAGTGCAGACGCAACCTGCCTCCCCCACAAAGAAAGGATGACTTGGCAACAGCCCTGAGCGATTTATGCTCGCGCGCGCGTTTGCAGCTATGGCTTATGTCAGAGAGCCTGATCACAGGCTGGACAGGCCTTAAAGGGGTTCAGGGTGAGCCCCTCACAATAGCATCTGCTCGCACACCTGTAGGGATGGGGAACTCACCCCCTCACAGGTAGCCTTGAGCATCACAAAGTGCTTCCTCGATTATGTCTCTCCATGGATCCTACCTCTGGGTCCCAGATGGGGGCAGAAGAAAACCCTAAAACCTAGTACGTTTAGGGCAAGGACCCCCAAACCCACCTGCTGGCACTGGGCCACGTCACTCTCCGTAGGGGCCATCGTGGGCACGGCCGGGGGCTGAGCAGCACCCCTGGCCCCCACCCCCAACGCCAGAACACCCACCGACAAGCACAAATATCCCCAGACACGGCCCGCAGCGAACTCCGAGCCCCCGGGACTCCTCTGGGGGAGGAGCAGTTTCTCTCAGGCCCAAGACACCAGCGCTGACCCGTCTCTTGCCGTTCAGCCTCCCGTAAGTGCAGACAGACAGCTCCCAGCAGCTGTCGGCCCCTGCCCTTGCCCCCTCAGCCCTCCCCAACGCCACCTCCACCCCAGCCCGCCTCTGCGTCTTTCCCCTTCTCGTAGGACCCCGTGCAAATACAGCCGGACCCTTCCCGCACAAACCCACCATTCCTTCCTCTGGGCAGAGCACAAGCGAAAAGGCATGGGATCTGATAGGAGCAGCTGCTGTCCTAGAGAACCACACAGAGGTTCGGGGAGGCTGGGTGTGAGAACGAGCTGGGGGACGGAAGAGGGACAGGGGAGGCCGGAAGAGCACTGTTCTGGGCCTCGTCCTGGGGCGGATGGCAGGACAGGGGGACCGGGAGTGGCAGGAGTTGTGCCTCTAGGCACTGAAGGTGGTGTCCCGTGGAGACTGGGCAGAGCACCGGGGAGCAGGGGGACCAAGGGGACCCGACTGTGCCTGCCCAAGCCAGGTGAGGAAGTGGGCAGTCCCGAGAGGATGGGGGATGGAGACGAGGGACCTTGTGAGGCCAGGGTGGGAAAGGTTCAAGGAAAGAATGAGCTTTCCTGGGCTAACTCAGCCCGGACGCCTGCAGGACACCCAGACGACAACCGGCATTGGCCACGTGGGCCTGGAGTTCCAGAGCCAGCCTTGGCACCAGCAGCAAATGAGGACAGGAAGTGAAGTGTGCCCGCCAAGAAGGTGTGCAGAGAGCAAAGCCGCATCTGAGTTCAGATCAAACATGAGGGTCACCACGCGAGAACCTGTGCTCAACTGTTCGCAGCAGCTCTGGTCCCCACGGGAGAAAGGTGGTGACAGCCCAAGTGTCCGCCACCTGGGGAGGAGATACACACGTGTCCCCCATGCGTGGGATCGTCCAGTGGCCGCCAGCAGGAGCGAGGCCCCCACGTGCTGCCCCGGGAAGAGACCCCGAGCTCACAGCACTCAGGGAGGGACCCAGACACAGACGGCCACATGGGGTGTGAGTCCACACATGTGACACGCCCAGACCAGACTCAGCCTGACAGAAAAAATGGGGCAGTGGTTGCTGGGGCTGGGGAGGGTGCAGGACTGATGGGTAAAGGGAAGAAGGTTTGTTTGGAGTGATGAGAATGTTCTGGAATTAAGGTGATAGACTCAAAAGCTGAAAAGCGCTGCACTGTATACTTTAAATTGGTAAATCACATGGCACAGCAATTCTATCCAAATCGATCTGTTACCAACAAAGATTCGGCAAATAAGGAAAAGCAGGCCCAGTAAAGGAGGCTACTCGCTGGCGGGGAGGTGTAGGAAGCCTGGGGAGAGTGGAATCCACAGTCCACTTTTCGGGGGCCGGGGGTCATTCATTCGGCACGACGGTCGAGGACCAAACCAGCTGCACCTGCTGGGATGTGCCGTGTGCGCCTGTTCTGGAACAGCGAGGAAGCCACAGTAGGAGAAAGCAGTCGTGCCAAGGACACAAGGATGCACGGCGGCTGGGGGCACAGTGTCCGGAGCGCTAGTGCCGCCCAAGAAGGAGCTCTGTGTGCGAGTCTCGGTGCTTGACAGAAGGAAGGAGCTGCAGGACGCGCCCAGCTCCAAGCCGCCCGCTACCTGCGGCTGCTCTGCCAGCACCAAAGCTGGGGCAGGCGGAGTGAGAGGCGGCCAGGGCGGTGACCAGTGGCCCTGACAAGGGGGAGGCTATTGGGGCCGACGATGGATCAGAAATCGGACGGCGGGAAGCTTCGGGGAGGAAGAGGGGCAGCTCAATATTCCTTCCCCAGCTCTGATGGCCACCCGCTCCCTGTGCCAACTCCCAGGATGGCAGGTGGACCCTACCCTCTGGCTGTCCCCACCCGTTAGCTCCCACTCCAGCCAGTGTTCTCAAGCTCCAGCCTTACGGGGAACTGAGCAGGCTCTGGGGACAGAGTCCCTGCCCTCATAGGGCTCTCGGGCTCAACTCCAGTCCCTCCACACCACTACTACTTGGGGACATCCTGGATCCAGCCGCATCCCTGACCCCACCCACCCGATGCCAGGAGGGCCCGCAGTCGTGATCACCACAGATGTGCCCAGACAGCACCCATGTCTCCAGATGAGAACCTCTGCTCTAGAAGAGAGCGATGACGGCAGTGCCATTTCACTGGTTCCGAAAAGACCAAGTCCCTTGATCCTGACGCCCGACCTGAAGGTCCAGGATCCACCCTCCAAACAGAACCATCTGGGACCCTCTTATCCTGCTCAGTGCTACCAAGCTAAAGGTCCCCACAACCAGCCCCACTCTGGTCCCCAAACCTGCCAGGCCAGAGGCCCCAACAAGCAGTACTGGGAGACTTTGCTGAGACAGAGCCTCGTGTGAGTGGAGGCAGACCAGCGTCTGGAAACTCATCGCCTCCCCATCTGCTTGCGGGCACTTCTCCCCTATCCCCCAACATCCACTGCCACCGGATGGGCCACGGGGGTCTGAGATTTCCCCCAGAAAACAGTCACGGGGAGTGGGGGGTGCTCCAAAACGGCCAGCATGGCTCGCTGGACACTGCCCACCACCCAGCAAAGCACCCGTCCTTTGAACCAAGAGCTGTCCAAGGGCCAGAAGCCCGGGTTTCAGAGGTGGGGGGAGCCCAGAATGCTCAACCAAACCCTCCTGAACAGTGGAACCTTGTTCCCTCCGCAAGTGCCCCTAACAGCCAGCACACCGGCCTGCTCTGGGGCCGGGACAGCACGGCAGTCCAGTGGTTTCTGTTGGAACAGAAGGGGCGCGTGACCTCCTGGGAGGAGACGGCCCACAAGGAATCCCGCACGAACAACAGCCTAGAATGCGTTCTAGGGGACAACGCACCACTCTGGGCACTGTCCCGAGAAGATCTCATCAGCCTCTAGTGTGCAACCCCCCGCCATCGTCCGCCAGGAGAGACCACCCAACCTCCTGCGTTTCGAAGACCCCCTCACCTGCCCCCAATCTGGGGTAGGGGGAGCAGCTGTGCATGCTTGAGCGGACTGGTTTTCTTTTGGTAAATCCTCCCCATTTCAAGCTAGTAAGAAGTTGGGGGGGGGGGCGAGGGCGTGGTGCAGCCTCACCAGCGGGAGGCATGAGGTCATCACTCTGCGGACTGGAGTGAAAGGGGGGCTAGTTCCCAGCATGACAGGCGCCTGAAAGAGGGGCGGATTTTGCGGGGAAAAGAACAGGGAAGAACAAAACAGGTCTAGGCTAGACAGCTGCGGAGCGGAGGGTCTCGGCTTTGCGCTGGGGGCTGGGGGCGAGTCTAGACAGTGCAGACCCAACGCGAGGGGGGGAGCACGGCTGAGATGGGGAGAAGCAGTCCACCCCTGGGGGCTCCCGCTGGCGGCGGGGGGCTTCCAGGAAGAGGCGGGATGTTGCGGGGCAAGCGGGTGGCTGGGCAGAGCCAGGCCCTGTCCGAGTTTGGTGGGGTCAGGGCCCACACGGAGAGCTAGACACGGGCGCGACGGCAGCTGGAAAGGGTCAAGCCGGGGGGCCGGGGCAGCAGAAGACCGTGGGGCTGGGAGCGAGGCGGATCACGGATGCGCCCCAACGGCAATGCCCAAGTGCTTCTGGGTGCCAGGAACCCGGAGGGGCGCCCACACCGACAGGGTCCCCACACTTGCGTCTACTCGCCCCGGGGGCCCGGTTCGAGCCCCGCCGCGTCGTGACAGCCATGGGGGGCAGGCTCGGCTGCGCAGGGCCTGCGCCGGGATGGCCCCAATTTGGAAGGCGGGCTCGAGAGGCCAGAGAAGAGGCGCCGAGCTGGGAAGGGGTCGGCTCGGGCCCGTGTCTAGTGGACCGCGGACGCGAGCCGCGGCGCAGGTCTCGGGCGGCCGGTGGTTCGGGCTGGGGCGCTCTCGCAGGGCCGGGTTTGGGGGTGAAGACGGGAGGGAGGTGCGGAGGTCACCCCGGGCCTAGCTCGGCAGGGGGGCGGGTTCAGGGGGGCTGGCCGGCTCCCAGAGGGGCCCGAGCGTGGGGGCCGCCAGCCCGGTGTCGGGCGGTGGGAAGGCCCGCGCCGCCGTCAGGCCCCGGCCCGGCTCGGGGGGTCGCGGCTCGGGCCCGGGGGGCGGGTCCCCAGACCCCGCCGCCTCACCTGGCTCGCTCCGGTCGCCCGCTGGCTGCGCCGACCCCGCCTCTCCCGGCGCCGCGCCGCACCGGCCTCAGCCGCCCGCAGCTCCACTGGTCCGGCCGCGGCCGCCGCGGACGGGACCCCGGGCTCCGCGCTCCTTAATATGGCGGCGGTCGCTGTTCCGCGGCCTCCCGGAGCCCTCCTCCGCCGCGCGCGCTCCCGCGGCCAGCCACGCCCCCGCGCCGGCGCGCTGCGTTCGGCCGCCCCGCCCCGCCCCGCCCCCGCGTGCCCGGGCCTCTCGCGGGGGCCGCGCCCCGCCCCGCCCACCCTGCACGACTGCGCCTGCGCGCGTCGGGCATCTCGGGAGGACGTGACGTCGCCCATGATTCGAATCAATACAGGAAGCGCGGCGACACGCGTTGCCACGGGCGACCGAGGCCAGCGGGGTCCCCCGGGGCGGGCGGAGCCCGTTGCGTGGGATCTGCGGGAATGGCTCCGCTTCGTTTAGGACGTGGTTCTCCGCAGGGGACGGTGCCAGGCCCGGGCCCTCGAGGGCGGGCCCGCACCCCGTGAGGGCAGTGACGCTGCGTGGTCAGGCGCGGGTGCGCGAAGCGGCCGGTGCCAGTCCCGCCCGGAACGACCGCACCGCCCGCGGCGGGACTTCCGTCCGGCCGGTCCAGGTTACCGCGCTTCCACCCCGTGCTCGCCCGGGCCCTGGCCGTCTCCGCCCCACGCCGCCACCCCCCGTGGGCGGAGGATCCGGACATCTTCCAAAGGGCAAGGGGAGGACGGGCCGAGCAGCGCACGGGGGCTCGCCACCATGACGCGCCGGGAAAGGCGAGTCAACCAGCGAGCGACCCCTTCACGGCCGCCTGGGCGCCCTGAGGAAAGGGCGGGAGGCAGGGCGAGTGCGGGGGGCCGCGGGGCCGCGGGGCCGCGACGCGGGTGGGGTGGGATGTGGGCAGCCGCCGTGCGGACGGTGCGGCCGCCCCGCAGAGACTCGGTCCCCCGCGGGCTTCCCGGCGGCCCGGGCGAGTCCCCCTCCTGCGCGCCCGTCTGCCCGGGGGAGCCGGAGCCGGGTCCGCCGAAACGTCCGCACACGGAGGCCCAGAGTACGGGTCAGAGTAACCGAGCAGGGCAGACGGCACGGGGATCGCGCAGGCCGAGGGCCGTCTGTCCGCGTCGCGGCGCCCGGCTGGCGGGGAGAAGGCGCGGGGCGCCCGCTGGACGGCCTCGGCGGACTAATAAAACCAGGAAGGATGGGTCTCTAACGCGGCCCATCGGGGACATGTGGGCGAAGGTTTGAAGGAAAGAAAGAGGCCGTGGTACCCGGTTTCTGTATGTTTGGTAGGAAGTGATGCACTCAGGCGACGCACCTGTACCTGACTTCAGTGAGCTCCGCCCACAGCGCGGGACCTGGCGTCATCCAATAAACACATCGCCCGAGCCAGAGAAGTAGATTTTAAGTTTTCCTGTTAGCCGCATTTTAAAAATACAAAGAAACCAGTGTAATTAATTTTAATGTACTTAATGTGTCCAAAGTAGTTACATTTCAACGTTTTATCAGAATCAACTGTTACCAGTGAGATACCGTTTGTTCTTTTCTCATCATGTCTTAAAACCCAGTATGAGTGCGCTCGCAGCCCATCTCAGTTTGGCGCTAATTGTCGTTGTTAAACCTTGATCTCTACAACGTATAAAATTGACAATGGGACAAGTAAATTCACGTGCAAGTGTGCTTCAAACGTTTCCAACAACTGGATCAAGTATCAGATTTTTCCACCTCTATTTAAATTAAATTTTTTTTTATTTTTTATTTTTTAAAAATATTTTATTTATTTGAGAGAGAGAGTGCACACAAGCTGGGGGAGCAGCAGAGGGAGAGGGAGAAGCAGACTTCCCACTGAGCAGGGAGCCCGATGCGGGACTCCGTCCTGGGACCCTGAGATCATGACCTGAGCCGAAGGCAGATGCTTCACAGACTGAGCCCCCCAGGCCCCCCTAAATTAAATTTTGAAAATTAAAAAAGTCACTTCTGTAGCTACACTGGCCACCTTTGAAATGCTCCATAGCCCCCAGCCCCCTCTGGCTAGTAGCTATCCTACTGAATGGTGCAGATATAGAATATGTCTGTCGTAGAAAATTCTACTGAGGGGCTCCTGGGTGGCTCAGTGGGTTAAGGCCTCTGCCTTCAGCTCGGGTCATGGTCTCAGGGTCCTGGAATCGAGCCCCGCATCGGGTTCTCTCTGCTCAGCGGGGAGCCTGCTTCCCCCTCTCTCTCTGCCTGCCTCTCTACTTGTGATCTCTCTCTGTCAAATAAATAAATAAAATCTTAAAAAAAAAAAAAAAAAGAAAATTCTACTGAACACAGAAGGTGCAAAGCAGTGCCTAGCATAGAACAGATCAATAAACGTCAGATGAGCAGGGCGCCCGGCCGGCTCAGTTGGTACAGCATGAGACTCCTGATCTTGGGGTCGTGAGTTTGAGCCCCATGTTGGGTGTGGAGATTACTTAAAAAATATGTATAAAATCTTTTAAAAAAATCTTTAAAATCGAACAATGTCAAATGAAGCAACTTCTTGAATATCTACCCTTCCAGACAAGATCCAATCATCCTTCCTCAGACCCACCCCAGATTCAATAACCGTGTCTGGGGGTGCCTGGGTGGCTCAGTGGGTTAAGCCTCTGCCTTCAGCTCAGGTCATGGTCCTGGGGTCTTGGGATCGAGTCCCGCATGGGGCTCTCTGCTCAGCAGGGAGCATGCTTCCCTTTCTCTCTCTGTCTGCCTCTCTGCCTACTTGTGATCTCTGTCTGTCAAATAAATAAATAAAATCTTTAAAAAAAAAACAAAACAAAACACCATGTCTGCTCGTTGCTGCTTCTCACTCCACACAGCATTCTAGCTCCAATGGAACAGCAGAGCTAAAGGGAACAATTCAGATGCTGTATTTTCTTTTCTTTTTTTAAGATTTTATTTCTTTGACAGAGATCACAAGTAGGCAGAGAGGCAGGCAGAGAGAGAGAGGGAAGCAGGCTCCCCGCGGAGCAGGGAGCCCGATGTGGGGCTCAATCCCAGGACCCTGAGATCATGACTTGAGCTGAAGGCAGAGGCTTTAACCCACTGAGCCACCCAGGTGCCCCATAGATGCTGTATTTTCAAAAAAACATTCCGATGGTGATGAAAAAGTGGCCAGATCTCTGGTGTTTCTTACTTTCGTTTCCAACAGAACATGATGCACACTCAGGGGCGGGGGGAGCAAGTTTTACATGAATCAAAAATTCCACCTCCACCATCTGACTTGATTGTTTTATTTTAAATCCAAGACAGCCTCTGACAAGCCTGGGATTTGGCTGAGGCCAGGGAGGGGGCTTGGGCAAGGTCAAAGTTGGATCCTGTCTTTATTTAAAAGTTTAGATTTTGGGGCACCTGGGTGGCTCTGTTGGTGAAGCATCTGCCTTCGGCTCAAGTCATGATCTCAGGGATGGATGGAGACCCATGTCCTCGGGCTTCCTGCTCAGCGGGGAGCCTGCTTCTCCCTCTCCCTCTGCTCCTACCCCCACTCATGATCTCTCTTTCTCTCTCTTGCTTACACTCTCTCAAATAAACTTAAAAAATAATAAGAGTTTGGGTTTTTTGCATTGATTTTGATTTTTTAAAATATTTCATTAATGAAGGAAGAAAGGATAGCACAAGAGATCACTGAGTGTGGTTTCCCATCCCAAACTTACCAGCTCAGCACAACATAGCTGTTATTTCACTATTCTGGAGATCAGAAATCTGACATGGGGGGCGCCTGGGTGGCTCAGTGGGTTAAAGCCTCTGCCTTCGGCTCGGGTCATGATCCCAGGGTCCTGGGATTGAGCCCTGCATAGGGGCTCTCTGCTCGGCAGGGAGCCTGCTTCCCTTCCTCTCTGCCTGCCTGCCTCTCTGTGTACTTGTGATTTCTGTCAAATAAAATCTTTTAAAAAAAAAAAAAAATCTGACATGGGGGCCAGGGGGTCTAAACCCCTCATGGGCAGGGCTAGTCCCCCCAGGACCCCAGGGAAATCTGGTTCCTGCCTCTTCTGGGCCCGTGAGCCACCCCCCTACATCCTCCCCACCAGCAGCACAGGGTCTGACCACCTCTGGGACCCCCACCCTCTGCCTCCGTCTCGTGAGGATGGCGGGACATCCCCCCTACCGGGAACCCAGGGTCGCCCCCACATCAGGATTTGTAACTTACCCCCATCTGCAAAGCTGCTTCTACAGTGGCACGCGGATCAGGGAGCCGGTCTCTTTGGGGGTGGGGTTGTTACCCAGCCCTGCCCTGTTTGTAGTGTGGCACTGTCCTGTGTTATGATCATGCTGGTGGACACCCAGGTTTCCACAGGGTAACACGGCAGAAAACTCAATACACATGAATACGTACCCACGTCCAAGCAGCGCTGGAGAAAGCTGCCCAAGATGGGGCAGGACATCAGCGCCAGCGTTCTGGTCACGAGACTATGCGACTGGTTTGCGTGTGTGTTGTGCCCAGTCGCCTCGGGGGAAACCGGGTGCAGGTGGCACCAGGCCTCCCGGATTATGTCTTACACCTGCACGGGGCCCTACAAGGATCTCAACATACATGTTGATTTTTTTTTTTTTTAAGATTTTATTTGGGGCGCCTGGGTGGCTCAGTGGGTTAAAGCCTCTGCCTTCGGCTCAGGTCATGGTCCCAGGGTCCTGGGATCGAGCCCCGCATCGGGCTCTCTCCTCGGCGGGAAGCCTGCTTCCTCCTCTCTCCCTGCCTGCCTCTCTGCCTACTCGTGATCTCTGTCTGTCAAAGAAATAAAATCTTTTTTTTTTTTTAAGCAGAGGTTCCTATTTTTGACAAACCAGAAATCCAGAGGGGTGAGAGCCCGGGAAAATTCCATGAGTCAGTGCTGAGCTCGGTCCTGGGCACTGAGAACTGGCCGTGCAGGAGCCCAGATGAATTCTCTCACTCAGCCTGTGTTGGGGGCAGTGCGGGGCCGACCCCCGACCTGACATCAGAAGTATGACAAAGGCTTATGGGTTTCACTGTGTCCCCCAAAAAACGGCGTGTTGAAGTCCACCCCCCCACCCGTCCCTGGGAATGGACCCTTACTTGGAAAGTAGGGTCTCTGCAGTCAGCAAGTAAGGACAAGGTTATACACCCCAG